TATTATTTTTTATTTTTTATTTTTATAAATTATTTATTGATTACTGATTATTATTTTTTTTTTCCACAGATTTTTTTTTTTTCATTCTGTGGCAAAAATGGGCTCCCATGGTTTCCTGATAAGAAACTACATTAAAAAGACTTTTTAAATTGTTTTAAAAAATAAACACTATTTTTATGGAAAGAATGAACAGGAAAAAAATACTTCCAGAACTAATAAAAAAAATAATAATTATGAATTAACAATTAATTACTTTTAATAAAACACAAGATGGTAATACACTAGCAGCTTGGTGCGGCAAACGTCATGAGAGACATGCAGAATTATTATTGCATGTGTTATGAATAATTTCACAACAGTATCATCCTGTTTAGTTTCGATTACAATCAATGAATCCAACAAAAGGAAAGAAAAAGGGCAAACATGGCACTGCAAACCAATCAAAACGAAAGAAAATGGACCCAGCTGTGGCTTGCTGGTCGTGTGGTTTACTCACGTGCCAAATAATCACTCTCTGGGGTCAAAAGACACAATTCAAGGGTTATACACACAGGAACGGAATATGTTGGATCTGATGGGAAGAACAGAAGTGTGCAGACTCACCTGGACATAGGAGCGGTCCCCCACGGCACCTGTGAGCACCTGCGACTGTGGACCTGCCGTCTTTTTGTCCTGCAGGTTCTGCTCACGGATCTGAGGAAGGAAAAAAACACTGTTAATACAAAATGACGACAACAGAAATATGATAAAAGACAGCGATGTTCAATAAACAATTAAAGAAATAGTTCATTCAGAAATTAGAGCTTGCTGAAAATGTGTTCAACCCCGGGCTGTCTGAGATTTGTAGAAATGTAGCACTGCATCAGTGTCTCAGCAAGCAGTGAACATCTGGAGAAGACAAAAGCTGAAATAAATCCAGCATTAGGATGCTTTTAACTCAAATATGAGTCCATAATCCATAATAACGCTTCCTCCAGTGAAAAAGTGTTCTGTTCTGAATCAGGAGAGAAATCTGCACAGATCAAGCAGCGTTTAAACAGCTCTAAACTA